TATAAAGGAAACAAATAATATTTTTACTATTGATTTTTTTATCATTTGTTTATTGATATTTTATTATTACATAAAAAAATGATTAAAGGAAAAAATTAGAATTCACAAAGTTATGAGCAGTCAAAGTGGGAACTCAAAAAAAAAGAGGGTGTCCTGGCGTGCATGATTCCAACCCTCCTGGTGATCCGAAACATAACTAGCTGTAAGTGGAATTCTGTCTTGAGGCAATTATGGCATCGTGCCTTAAGGCAAATTGCTGGAACTTCCGTACCGTAACGAAATGTTCGAGGAATACTGAATGTTTTCAAATAGATTATTATAAATATTGTAACATTGTCTAATATTTATAAGAATTATATAAACTGAATTGCAGAGTTGAAATTATTTATAAAGTATATTAGAACTAATAGTCAGAATTAAAAATAAAATCTGAAATATTTTCGATATACAAAAAACTAAAAAAAAAAAAAAAAGTTGGAACAAAATTTTTTTTCCAAAATCAATTATTTTGTTAAGACAAGCAGAAAGTTCTTTGAATCATTAAATCGGACGCTTAGTTCTCTCAAAAACTGCCTTTTTTTACATATTTAGCTCCGTATCTTCAAAATGGCTGGGCCTGCCTTTGCCAAAACTAATAAACACTTCTCCCAATCATTACTAATTGAATGTTTTTAGATGATTCAAATCGGATACTCCGTTCACTCAAAAATTCGATTTCTATTTTCTGCACTCTTTGCTCCGTATCTCCGAAACGGCTGGACCTGCCTTTGCAAAAAAACTAATCAGCTCTTTTCCCTATCAATAGGAATCGAATGTTTTTTGAACCATTCAAATCGGTTGATCCGTGCACCCTAAAACGTGACTGGAAATTTGTATCCATACATACATACATACACACACACACACACACACACATCCATTTTTTCTGAGGTATGCCAAAACGTTCAGAAACCTTCAAAACGTCGAGAAATGTAAAAATTTTCAATTCCGATTTTCGGCCCATTACAATAACTTACCCTACGGGAAGTTAAAAAATAGATGGATTCTTAATTATTATAGATGCCCCTATCGTATGAACCTTGGATAAGGTAAAAAAAAATTTTTGTTTGAATGGCGGCAATTTGAAAAAAAAATTTTTTTTTTCATGTTTTTTTTAACAATTCCGAATTTTTTAAAAATACTAAATGATAAGTTATAGTTTTGGGAAAGGTCCATGCGATAAAGCGATGTATAGAGAAGATTCTCTCCAAATTTGAAGTAAATCGGTTCATTAGAACTCGAGATATCCTTACCGCCAGCTCGAAAAAAGTAGTTCCGAGAACCGAGGCCACGTCACTAAAACGGATATAACTCAGGAAATAATAGTATTTTTGAAACATACTTCTAATGGCATATTTTTGAATAACTAACTAAACTTTGAAAATATGAAAAAAAAAATTTTCGATTTTTTCAAAATTCTACAGTAGAATACCCCCTTAACAATTCAGAAGTGGGATTACTCAAGGATTAATTTGAAGGCATTGAGATCACAAAGTGTGAGACTATGTTTGTGGCATTTGAATAACAGAAAAACAATATGAGTGAGCTGCAAGAGTTATACAAAATGTATTTGGAAAGCAGACACCGAGAAGATGAAATGATGAAAATGGTTGTATCGATGGTTTGTGATGAGAGAGTGAAGTCTGGTGTAGTGCCCAATCATGAGGTATACAAAATGGTGTGTTGGGAAGCGAGATTGATGATTGTATTGCGCCAATAGGAAAATAGCCAATAGGAGTATGCTATGAGGAAATGGAGAAGGTAGCTGGATGATGATGATGTAGGTGCATTAGAATTAGCGCTTAAGGATAAAATTGTTAGGGCTGAGGAAATAAAAATTCCATTAGAGGCAAGTGCTTTAACAAAGATTGCATTAGTGAAGAATCCTGTTGTAATTGTGAAGAGCCCATTAGTAAAGAGTCCATTAGTGAAGAGTCCATGAAGAGTCCATTAGTGAAGAGTCCAATTGTGAAGAATCCCGTTGTAATCGTTAGGAGCCCAATAGTGAAGAGTCCAATCGTAAAGAGCCCATTAGTGAAGAGTTCAATCGTGAAGAATCCTATTGTAATCGTGAAGAGTCCATTAGTGAAGAGTCCAATCGTGTAGAGTCCATTAGCAAAGCGTTCAGTTGTAAAGAAGAGAAAGGAACATGGATTTCATGCGAGAAGAAAGAAAGGACTCCAAATACAAATGGTAAATAATCTGAGAGAGAGCCAGTATTTGCTTCAGGTACATTATGTAAAATCTAACAAATAAAATATTATTAGTCTTTTTATCTAATACAAATAAAATATTTTACCATTACCAGGTTGTGAAGTGCGATGATCGCGCTTGCTGTGGACATGTGCGCAGTTTCATTCGGGCTGTTCTTTCAGAACGTTTTCTTATACCTCCTTACCCAATATTGCAGTCATCTTAGGACCTATATATTTTCCTCAAGAACATGAAGGCAAGTCGTTTGCTACATTTCTTCCGCGTCGGTCTCTTGGAATCACTCCAGCACATGAGGTATTTTATAAATTGCCTTACTACCTTCTGCCCTAGTCTGCAGAAGGACCGTAAGCAACTTTTGGTAAAGACATGTCAGATATGTGGATTGTACTTTTGTATGAAGAAGAAAGTTAAGGAGCATATTAGTACATGTCACAGACAAACTATTAAACCCATCATTAGAGATACGCATTTATTAATAAATTGTCAAATAGTTAAAACCATATAAAACTCAGTTTTTCTTTAAAGTTTTTTAAAGCTCGTTTTTTTTTGATGGGTGCGCTCGTTTTTTTTTTTGATAGGCAGCTAGTGGGTTCGTTTTTTTTAGGCAATGTATATATATATATATATATATATATATATATATATATATATATATATGACCTAATATGCCGAGCCCACCCATCATTTGCTTCCGACACCACTGTTCCCAACTAATATCCCACTAAGCCAAAATCCGTAATTAACTTCCCGAAGGAGAAGTTTATGTTTTCATAAAAAAATCCGATTCGCTAATTTTATATTTTCTCGACGTTTCAAGCCATTCTGAATCGAATGAGACCAAATTTGGGAAAAGTATGTGTGTGTGTGCGTGTGTGAACAGGTTTTTTGCCGTAAATCGACATTTTCTCAAAAATGGCTGGACCGATTTCAAAAATTTAAAAGCCATTCGATGTATCTCGATGAGGATTAGCGTTTATCAATTTTGCGCGACGATCAGCCAAGCCGTTTCTTTGTAAATAGCAGAAAAGTGAAAATTTTTTCGTCCACATTTTAGCCCTCAGTTCTGAATCGATCTTGAAAATTCAAAAACCGTTCGAAAGATATTGATTGGGAATCGTGCTGATGAGTTGTTGGTAGTGATCGGCTGGGCCGTTTTCTTGTAATAAAGTGTTAAAAAAAATGTTTCGACGATTTTTATTATTATTTTTTTGACGGTAGATACCATAGTCTTCTAGATCATACTAAAATATCAAGGCTCCACGACAATTGGTCTAACTTTGAAAATTCGTCAAAGTTTGCAAAAATTGGTATCGTATTTTTGGAATTTGACAAAATTAAACCTTTGATCGACGTTTTCTCAAAAACGCCTGAACCGATTTCATAAATTTAAAAGCCATTTGATGTATCTCAATGAGGACTATATTTTCAGTTTTGTGAGACGATCTGCCGAGCCGTTTCTTTGTAATTTGAAAAAAAGTGTTAAACTTTTCATCCATATTTAAGCTCAAACTACCGAATCGATTTTAAAAAATCAAAAACTGTTTGAAAGATATTAGTTGAGAATGATACTGATTAGTTTTAGGTGAAAATCTACCGTGTTGTTTTCTTGTAATTAACAGTTTAAAAAAAAATCATACGGATTTTTATGGAACTTTTTTTGGTGATATATATCATGGTCTTATAAAACTTACTGAAATATCACGGTCTTATGACAAGTAGTTCAATTTTAAAAATTAATCAAAGTTTGAGAAAATGAGTAGTTTTTTGATGTTTGTTAAAATCAAAATTAGACGATTTACTTGATAGAGTACTTGGTCTTAATGAACATACTAAACCATTAAAGTCTTACGGAAACTGGTTCAATTATAAAAATTATTGATTTGTGAAAATTTGCTTTCAGAAAGTTCGAGTCAACGTGTTCATTCGTTTTCAATTATGTGTAATAAATCCACTCAGAATGCTTCTAATCAATCATAAATGAATTTATTTTTTATTGATTAAGTCGATTATTTACATATATCGGAAAGTTCATGTAACTTGCCTCATGGCTAAATACCAAACCAACTAGTTTGAAATATGAATTTGGTTGAAATGAAGAGTGCTGTCATAGATAAGGAATGAGTTATATCATCTTAATTCCACCCATCAAAATTCATGAGTGGGCTCAAGCCATGCTCAAGCCCACACGGTTTCGACGCCACTGATGGTTGACATTAATAAATGTGTGCATCACAAGTATTACCATATTACTAATAAACATTATTCAAAATTATATTATTTTAAAGTATTTATTTTAAACTTGAATGCCATCTTGTACAGTGACAAAAAAGTTTTGCTTGAATCGCGTGTGAACCTCACGCGCACTCTTTTTTCAGATGAACCTTTATTTTTTATTTCAGCGGTGAATATTATATCTTGTGCTATTCAATATATACCAACTTGTAAAGTAATTTATTTTATCATTTACTAATAGAAAATATGTAAAAAAAATTCACTTATAACACAATAATATATCAAATAATTTATATTCACTTTATTATTATCCGTTTATTAATTTATGTATATATCCGTTAATATATCCGTTTTTCTATGCACGATAATTTAACGGCACTGAAAACAAAATGGCCTCCACAATGGCGAAGTTAGCTGAAATCGAAATGTCAATTGTCAATGAGTTTTATGGATTTTATATTGAAGTTAAACAAAGCGAAATAATAGATTTATATTAAAACATATACATTATTTTATAAATCACTGTTTGTTTGTTTACAAAAAACGAAATACGCCGAAAATGTCTGAAGAAACAATTTCAAACCCAACAATTAAAATTGAGCCAAAGGAATATCCTCCAGTTAAACAAGAACTTGATGATTATGACATTACTTCAGAAACATTTTTAGAAAATGAGGTAATATATTTACATCAATCATTATCAGAAAAAATAAAACAAGAAACAATTGATGATCAAGATGAAATAAGTTTCGACGAGGGATCTTATATGGAAAACGAAGGAATATATCAACAGCGATTTTTAGATTCTGAAGTCACTATAGATGAAGAAATAAAGAAAGAAACGATTGATGATCCAGATGAATCACATTTTGATGAGTATTCTTATACGGAAAACGAGGAAATATGTCTACAGCAATTTTTAAAATCTGAAGTAACATTTGAGGAAGAAGTAAAGCATGAACCGATTGATGAGCATGTTGCAGACACTAGTAAGAACAAAACCAATGTCAGAGAGTCAAGTGATTTAGCGGATATTACAAGTGAATGCAATAAATCAGTTAAAAAAGTTGTAGGAAAACTTAAAACTACCCTAAACTTGAAACAACCCTTGGAATGTAAAACTTGCAATAAAAATTTCTCAACAATTATCACCTTACGTCAACATAAAATGATTCATACAGGAGAACAACCTTACAAATGTGAAACATGTAATAAAGCATTTACAACAAATGATTATTTAAGTCAACATAAAAAATTTCATGCGAGAGAACATCCTTACAAATGTGAAATATGTAATAAAGCATTTACAACAAATGGTAATTTAAATCAACATAAAAAGATTCATATGGAAGAACGTCCTTACAAATGTGAAACATGTAATAAAGCATTTACAACAAATTGGACTTTAAGTCAACATAAAAAGGTTCATACGGAAGAACGTGATTACAAATGTGAACTATGTAATAAAGCATTTAAAACAAATAGTAATTTAAGACAACACAAAAAATATCATACAAGAGAACGTCGTTACAAATGTGAAACATGTAATAAAGCATTTACAACAAATTGGACTTTAAGTCAACATAAAAAGGTTCATACGGAAGAACGTCATTACAAATGTGAACTATGTAATAAAGCATTTAAAACAAATAGTAATTTAAGACAACACAAAAAATATCATACAAGAGAACGCCTATACGAATGTGAAATATGTAATAAAGCATTTATAACAAATGGTGAATTAATTCGACATAAAAGGATTCATACAGAAGAACGTCCTTACAAATGTGAAATATGTAATAAAGCATTTATAATAAATGGTGCATTAATTCGACATAAAAGGATTCATACAGGAGAACGTCCTTACAAATGTGAAATATGTAATAAAGCATTTAAATGAATAAAGATTTAATTCAACATAAAAGGAATCATACAGGAGAACGTCCTTACAAGTGCAAAATATGTAATAAAGCATTCATAGCAAAAGAAAGGTTAAAGCGACATTCAATAATTCATACTGGAGAACGACCACATAAATGTAAAATATGCAATAAAGCATTCAAATTAAAACAAGATTTAAAACTACATGAATTTGTTCATACTAAAGAAAGCAATCATAAATGTGCAGTATGTAAAAAAACATTCGCAAAAAAACAATATTTAAGTCTGCATGAAATGATCCACACTGGAATCCGTCCTCATAAGTGTGCTTTATGCAATAAATCATTCACAAGAAAAGATATATTAAACCAACATCTAATGATTCATACAGGAGAACAACCATATAAATGTAAGATATGCAATAAAGCACTCAGTTTAAAACGAAATTTAAAACGACATGAATTAATCCACATAAGAGAAAGCAATCATTGATGAACCACATGCAATAAAACATTCGCAGCTTGGCAATCATTAAACCAATATAAAACTGTTCATACTGTAGAACAATTTATAATAGAGGATTAAATTTTCATAATTTTAAACACATTATAATTATAATTAGCAGACTTATTATTGCTTATAAGTATCTTTGAAAATATTTGTGGTGACTTATACAATATATTAACTTTATTTATTGCTCACATTGCTCACCAAATATTGTTACGCCAGAAGTTATTACAAGAATATACAGGGTCATTATTTAAATCAAATTGTTTTTTATTTAATTATGTATATATGTATATGAATAACATAAAAATTAAAACTTGTTGTAAAAAAGGACTTGAACAATATTTGTTTTTATTGGTCACTTATTAACTTCCCGGAGAGTTGGTCATAGTAATCGTCCAAAAATTGATAATAAAAATTTTGTTTTGCATCATATGTTTACATTTCAAAGATTTCTAATTATTTTGTTATACTATGTGTGTGTGTGAATGTATATTTGGGTACAGTTTTTCTTCTATGATTTCGGTAGCACGGATATATGATTGAAAGATGTTACTTGGAAATAGGAAGTTGTATTAATTTATTTTCAATAAAAGCGAAAATTTTATTATGGAAATGAACAGTTGAAAATTTAATTTAAATGGCAAAACTTATGTTTTATTGCTTTGAATATTGTCGGGTTTTGTTCTGAGGCAATGGGCCCTGATATATGTACATACATTAGGACCTTGATCAACCGGACTAATTATTAACGAAAATAATGTTTATTAAGAAATTGAAACTTCTTTATGTATATGCATATATATTTTCTTAGATTACATTACATACATATACTAAACTACAGCATTTATCATGAAAAAATTCGAATTGTAGGTATGTAAATACATATAAATTAGCCTACATAAAATATGTATGACTAGCTAAACCTTGATTCTTATGACTTTGCTATCGGGAGATAATCGGTAATCTTTGAAAATCGGTAATAAAAGTATTTTCTTCCGTTGGTAGTTTTTTAGCATTAGTTATAAATGTAATTATTTTATAAAATATGACACCAAAAAAGCACATTTCTACAATGATGTAGTAGCTGGCAGTTTCATTTGAAATGTGCTATTTGTTGTGATATAATTGGTTTGGTTTTCATAATATAATTTAGAATTGCTCAAAGTCAAATTGGACCTCTGTGCCTCGCCCTGCTCTACAAACATACTTTTTATTAAATTTACTTTAATTCATAGAATGTTAGTTGAAACTTTTCAAAAGCAGGTCAAAGAAGAAATACTTAAATCATTTTCTATCTCTGTTCGTGGAAATTTGAAAATTTTGTATAAACTCAGTAGTATTACTTACAATTATACACAAAATCCTGAATCCGAAAAGAATCTGAAAAACTTGAAACGTAATCAATAAGTCGAAAGACCAAAAAAAACTTGGATTGGATTATACCATATCTTTCGAACTGTTTTTCATTTTTTAAAATCGATTCGGTAGTTCGAGCTTAAATGCGTGGACGAAAAGTTTAACACTTTTTTTCAAATTACAAAAAAACGGCTCAGCAGATCGTCTCACAAAAACTGACAGGCGATAGTCCTAATTGAGATACATCAAATGACTTTAAATTTCTGAAATCGGTTTAGGCGTTTTTTGAGAAAAATTCGATCAAAGGTCTAATTTTGGCAAATGCCAAAAAACGATACTAATTTTTGCAAACTTTGAAGAATATTTAAAATTACGAGGGCCGTCTACAAGACTATGGTGTCTACCGTCAAAAAAATCATAAAAATCGATTTTTTTTTCAAAAAACTTTATTACAAGAAAACGGCCCGGCCTATCTTTATCAAAAAGTAATCATCACGATTCTCAACCAATATCTATCGAACGGCTTTTGAATTTTCAAAATCGTTTCAAAATTGCGGGCTAAAACGTGGACGAAAATTTGTCACTTTTCTGCGATTTACAAAGAAACGCTCTGAACGATCGTTGCACAACGCTAGTCCTCATCGAGATACATCGAATGGCTTTTAAATTTTTAAAATCGGTCCAGCCGTTTTTGGAGAAAACAGCAAAAAATTGTTCACAAACACAACATACACATACATACTTTTCCAAATTTGGTCTCATTCAATTCAGAATGACGAAACGTCGAGAAACATAAAATCATCAGCGAGTCGGATTTTTTATATATAACATAATTTTTTCCTTCGGGAAGTTTAAAACATTGTTTCCTAAGTATATTCAAGATGTGCTGATTAGGGTAGGCCCCACCGTTTCGGAGAAAACAAAGCAAAGAGTGCAGATAATGAAAATCGGGTTTTGATAAAATCACTCTTCTTTTATCTATGGATAGAAGAGTAGGTCCGATTTAATGATCTAACAAACATTCAATTGTAATTAAGAGGTGATTAGTTTTTGGAGAAGAGGTGATTAGTTTTGGCAGACAGGTCCAGCCATTTCGAAGATACAGAGCTAAATGTGCAAAAAATGGCAGTTTTTGTGAGAACTGAGCGTCCGATTTGAATGATTCAAAGAATTTTCTTCTTGTTTTAACAAAATAATTGCTTTTGGACAAAAAAATTGTTTTAATTTTTTTCGTATATCGAAAATAATTAAGATTTTATTTTAATTCTGACAAAAGTTCTAATATACTTTAAACAAATAATTTCAACTTTGCAATTCAGTTTATATAATTGTTATAAATATTAGACAATGTTACAATATTTATAATAATCTGTTTGAAAACATTTAATATTCTTCGAACATTTCGCTACGATACGGGAAGTGCCAGCAATTTGATGCTGTAAAACACTATGCTATATACCACTAGTTTATAATTATTATCTAGTATATTTTTTTTTATTATTGTATTATTACAAAACTTAATACGATTGTAATACTAAATTTAGTTTCAAATACCCGGTTACTGAAATTCATTAATTTTCATTTCAAATTTTGCGTCCTTAATTTGAATGCCAAAAGCAGCGCCTTCACGTCTGGGCGGAGGACCCGTTAACTATCCATTCTAGAGTTTTTTTTCATAGTTGTTTAACCTGATTTCACAATGAAATAGAAATGTCAAAGTCACAAGTGTTTTTTTGTATTTGTTGAATAATAAATATTTATATATAAATATGTATAAATACTCTCAAAAAAATTAATTAATAAGTGTTTTGTAACAAAAAAAAAATTTATGATATGGATATATAGATTTAATTGCAGGTAAATAATTTTTGCTACTCAATTTTATTTTTTATTTTCCTATAATCTTATATATTTTTTAAACCTTTCTTTACTTTTATTTGGTACATAATCCATTCCTTTAAATTAAAAAAACCTTTTTTACTTAATATTCTGTATTCTTCGTCATTAATAGAGTTAGTCTATATAAAAAATGTTTTTGACAGAAGAAACCTGATGATGGAAAAAATCCATGACTTGACTATTAAAAATATATATATATTTATTTATATTGGAGATGGGTAATCACTCCGGAGTTATCACTTCGATACAACTCCTGCCTCAGAGTGAATTTGAGTGGAGTTGTCTCACTGGATTTGTCATATTCGACTTCCCTAAACTGATACTAAAATCTGTTAACATGTGCAGATAATTGCTTGAGATTTTTTACTATTACAAAAGATTGGGTCGAAAGAAGTGTTTTTTTTCTCGTCTCACAGCTAGTTTTAGGACTTTCCAGGTATATAATGTCTCAAAATGATGCTATTATGTATTGCATATTCTGTATAAGATAATGTTTTCTCCATAAATGAGCTCTTTCAAAAGCTAAAAATATTTAGTATTATATTATAACTTTTTACACAATTATGATTTTATAATTGTGTAAAAGTAATAGTATGCAATCAAGTACCTGATGTAATGATTTCTCGAAAAGGAAATAATAAAAGAATGTGGTGTATTATTATTTTGTGAAAAATATTGATTTGAAAGATTTGTTCTTATTTCATATATTCGGTTTGCTGCATTATTTTTATATAAAAATAAGCGTATTCAAAGAATTCTATATTTTCTCTTCAAAAATAATTACAAAATTGATTTTAAGTTCCAAGTTTTTTGTCAATTGTGATTCGCATGCATATTGAAATGCATAAAATAAAATTATTATAATTAAATGAACAGAAATATTTGAACTATTTGAAATATATTTCCAAAGTCTTAATAAATCCTGAGATATGTTGACAACACGCTAGAAAACTCATTTGTGTCAAGTATATTTCAAAGTTGTCGGAGTTGTGGAGTCGTTAAGTGGATATAACTCCTCTCTGAAGCGGAGTCAAATCCCAACCGATCTGGCTTTGTACATACTATATATAAGTACTATATACATGCTTGTACTATATACATATATATAAGTATTGAAACATATGTATATACATTCGAAACCATCTTATAATTATATATAGTAACTTATATTATAATTTTTGTAAGCTTTTACTTTTACTACGTTTTAGAACCCTTGCTAATTTGTTTACAAGGACCTA